TGACTAACCTGGTTCCAATGGCTATTTGGACAACAGCAAAGCTCCTGGAAGTTGTGCATGGGCGCTTTGATGAGTCTAAAAATCACCCTTGCAAAATGCCCTTTTCATAGAGAGCTTCTCAAAACTAAGTGCCGGCAGTCTTTCAGCCTTCCTTGTGTTAATTGAGTTGTGTTGGTGTCAGAGATTGTTGACATATTACACTTACTGGTTATTATCATCCAACTGCTCAAAGTAGAGTACAAATAACAAGTGATTAGAGCACAAATATCCCGCGATATTGTACGATTATTTGGAAAATTTGTTGTTTTGTGCTGTAAAAAAACCTGTTTAACCAATCGATTGCGCGCTACGCTTCTCTATCCCTTTTGCTTTTCCTGCCTTATAGGAAATGAGCATAAAGACTTAGCAGAAAGTAGTTGGATAATAAATAACTTATTAGACGTTTTAGTGTATAGTATCGTTGAGTATTTTTAAATCTCATGAGATTCTTAAAATTAATGGACTGAACTTCACACTTGAATATAATTTCTCATGTACTCATGCTAGAATTCAACGCAGTGAACCAAACCCCTGCTTCAGAGTTCTAAAAATAGACTTAAACCAATCTGGTTTAAAGTTTTAAACTATTCGCCAAACTTAATTAGATGCAGTGTTGATAAACTTTTGCTCTTTGAGTACAACTGCTGGTGCGCAACTGAAAAGTCCCATACTTCATCCTGAGGGGTGGGGTGAGAATTAAGAAAATAGGTTGCACTATTGACTGTAATGTCTCATCTTTCAATTTACTTAATGTCTGAGTGGAAGAGCAAGATGGGAGAATATTTGACTCGAGATCATGACCGGGAGCCAAACATTTTCCCGTCCTTAATATTATGTGAAAACTTAATTAAGTAATTGTTTTATTACACGTTTTTTGAAACAATTTGCCAAAGGAGGCACTTCTCACTTAGTTTGCAAAAGTTTAAGAGCAGACTTTGAACTCAACATGATAACCCAATATCTGTTGCAGATGCCGGGTTATCATGTCAACTTCATACGCCTATGTATACTGACTCAATTCTCTCCAACAAATCAGAGTTTTCATAGTTACTCTATTGTAGAAAAATATTCCTTTTTACTTTGTTAATGTCAGAAAAGCAATGATAGTTGTATATTAACAGAGAATTACATTGGCGACATAAACGTTTGAACGTCCACAAAATCAATAATTAGTTTTAAATCACTCGTTCTGTAACTACGGAATTTTACACTAAGCAAAATTAAAGCAATTAAGAACTGATTTACTCTTCTCATTTCAAGTATTAACGATACTCCAGGCTTATATAGTATTGATATAACAATTCGATCGATTCTCGATGCTTGGTAAACGGAACAACATTTTTCTCCCGAGTATAGGCTGAGTGATTTGAAAACTCTTTGCATGTTTTATTAGCCTTTATAGTGAGTTATCAAGCCTCTATACCCCTTGAGAGTGCAGTTTATACCTTTATTCAATAGCTGTTGGTCAATCGATACAATAAAAGTTATGATTAACCGATTATGAGTGTGGTACCTAAGTCATTTTATTCTAGGAAATGACAAACACTTGTACAATTCTTTGAAAGAATAACACAGTCATGTCTCGAGATAAATTGCGTGAACCTGTTTATTTTCCAATCAGTTTGAGCTCTTATCTATTAGATCCAGGTAAATATAACTCAAAGACGAAAGGAACTCTGATTTAGTCCACATTCCTCACTTGTTGCGCACTCTCAAGAAAACGGCATTTTGCAAGGATGGTTAACTTCACTAAACCGCCCGTGTAAAATTTCTATGTTAGACCTGCTGGACCACAATGCTAAGGGAACTGCATTAACAATTGCTACAAGTACATGTCTTTCCATCTTTTCCGCCAAACGGCCATGACGGCCATGTTCTGATAGTGAGTTTCTCTCACAAGAGATACGTAGGTGAAAAACCCCTCAATCGGCAATAAAATTGATGTTTGGATGGTCAACAATTTAAGCAGGTTTGCAAAGGGTTCGTTTTCCACGTAAATAAGTTGATAGAAGAAGAAAACGCCATTGGCAGACGCGAGGCCGATTGACTCATACAACTTACTTACAATGGAAGTATCAGCCATTAGTCTCTCGCGGCGAGGAGTGCGAAAACTTCCCCAAGGAGCTGATTTTCTTTTCCAAAGCACGTGGCAGAAGTGATTAATGATAACCATCATGCTTCTTTCTAAAACTTTATGCAACACTGTGAATTATTCCAAGAGTAGCCATGGATTGTAAACTGTCTAAGTTGGCTTGCAATACTCGAAACAAAACAGCTGAGCCAAAATACACCGGCACCAATAACACATACGAATATCCCGGATGTCTAAATTTCCACAACCGCTGAACGGAAATCCTTGAAATTGCTTTCAGAACAACTCCAACAAGCGTAGCGGAAATAGCGATCAGAAGTTTACCTTCCTTGTTTTGTTTGATGTAAGCTGGGTATAAAGAAAAAGCTGAGACGAAAGCCAGAATGTCGCTAAAACAGGTCGGAAGAATCATTTGAAAGAAAATGTTGCCCGTTGTTTTCTCGAGCGTCCACTTAAAAAATGCTTCATTAAAAAATAAACTTGCACGGATATGCTCATAAGAAACATAAGATGGAAAGGGATCTTTTGCTTTGTGAAAGACTTTGACTGATTTATTCGTAACGCTTGTAGAACAACACGATAAAGTGTGTCTAAGCTATACAATAGAAAAGTTGCTAGGACAAGCTTTCTCTTCACCCCGATCACCTGAAATGGGCGAAATAACAAAACCACAGTTACGAAGAACCACATGTATATAAAAGCATAGGAGAGGATACCAGATATTGAACTGATCCATTGAACTTAAACTGGAATTGACTGGTAGGAGTGAAACTGAGAGTTGAGTTCAGTCTTATACGAGAGATAAATGACCGACATAAATAATGAAGCTGTGACATTGGACGTTATCATTGAAATCAATGCTCCAATATACATTACTTTACCCATTGTGAAGAAAGCAGATGGTCTGAGCCGCTTCCAAGCCATTGATTGCTCTTCATCTTGTTTGCTGCTGAGTGTCTTTTCATTTTCTTCTGGTGCGCACGCGTCTATACATCTCACATTAGGACTTGATGAAGGACGATAAGTAAAAGCTGTGTCCCTTCTATCTGAATTCTTGGAATATAAACTCGTCTACAGGATGATAATACCATTCTCGACCGGTGCTTTCCAATGGATCTAAGCCAAAGGATTCCGCTGTAAATTCAGGTTCTTCAGGATTGTAATGCTCTGTTACGCCTCGTGTGAAACTGAACACGAAGTGACCAAAAACTTTTATCAATGTACTGCTACTTATTTTGGAATGATTTACTTTTACAACGAACGTTGAGATACAACAGGAAGGTTTCAACTGACTTTATATTTCAATTTTAGCATTCACATTTTCCCGATTATTTTCCAATTTTGATTGATCTTTCTAATGTGTATGATGTCATTCCTAGAAGTTGGACGTAGATGCGCATGAATATAGAAACTTTCAATGATGCTTTGGACTTTCTTTTTCCTCGGGTGTTAATATTTGGTGTCGTGGGCGACATATCCTTAATCACAGACATGCGCATAAATTATGCCGAGGAGCGGTTGATATACGAATTAAAGTGAAAAGGCTTACCCAGTTTTGATCCCAATGCGCAGTTTTTGCAGACAACTGGTAGATGTTGTTACATTACAGAAGAAAATCACTGAAACTCATTTGACTCATTATTCTCAGCTATTTTTAGCAGGAAAGGAAATATCTAGATTTGAATGGATACTTTCACACAGATGTAGCTGGAGGGCATTCTTCAACATTAGCTTCCTGACTAAGAGATCAAGTTTGGGAACAATCATATTCTTAATGATTACCGGTAGATTGCAATTAAAATAAAATCCAGACAATAAACGTAAATTTTAGATTTCATTCGAAACTAAAAATTAGTTAATACTGAAAGAGCATTTACTGTATTCTTCGCGAGCTTATTCATCTCACGGTGGGGGCTGAATCAGACCATCCGAGATTCTTCTTAGATATAATACGTATGTCAGAACAATAATTATATCGATCAAATTTACTTAAATGCTCACACAGTTCCGTGATCTTGCCGCTTTTGATCTCAAAGCCTTTTTAAATATACCTCATACGGAAGCAAGTTGTACGATGATGACATTAGCCAGTTCGGCAAACTCCATTCTATCAGAGAGCCGAACAATTTCCCGTCCTTAACATTATGTAAAAAAATCGATTAAGTAATTGTTTTATTATACATTTTTTGAAACAATCTGGCAAGGAAGACACTTCTCTGTGAGTTTGAAAAGTTTGAGAGCACTTCACGGACGAGGAGCTTGGAAACTAAGCAGACTTTGAACTCAACAATGATAAACCAATATCTGCTACAGATATTGAGTTATCATGTCAACTTCACACGCCTATGTATAATGACTGAATTCTCTCAACCAATCAGAGTTTTCATAGTTACTCTAATATATAATATTATTCCCTATCATTTTGTTAATGTCAGAAAAGCAATGATAGCTGTATATTAACAGTATAATGGTTTGAACGTCCACAAAAATCAACAATTACTTTGCAAAAACTCGCTCTATAACTATGGAATTTTACACTCAACAAAATTAAGGCAACCAAGAACTGACTTTTACATATGATCCACCTCAGGTGGTAAACAGATATTATGTTTCACTAATTTTTGTGCAAGATTTGTTCTTGTCATTTTTTAGTTTCATTTTATTAACCGTAACGACGCAGATTCTATTTGTTTTCCAAGGGTTAGACATGCAGTTCTGTAGATCTTGTTGTAAGAATGCATTTTTTTTTTGCTGATGGTTTTTTATTTTTTTGTTAAATATTAGATTTCGAGGTCTTCTGTGTTGTTAATATTTGTAAAAATTGTTTAATTAAGAATGACAAACATGATCCAGCTTTACCTTCCTTATTATGCTGGGCTGGATCGTGTTCTGGATGAGTCCTGATAATGGAGGTGACAGGCTCACTGTCGGCATCACTTGCATTCTCACAATTGTTTTGTTATTGGGTTACATCAACGGCATGCTGCCTAAGGTTAGAGAACTCACATGGCTAAAACATGACATGCATTCAACAGGCGGCGGTATGCAGGGATTCGTGAAAGTTCGTCATAGTTTAGGCTGTCAACAGTCAAGAAAACCACCACAAGAAGGACACTTTTCTTTTTTTAAAAAATAGTTTAAAAAAATTCTCTCTCCGCTAAAATTAGACGTACGCCGTATAAATATTGGCTCTACATATCTAAAATTAATTTAGAAAAGAATAAATGCATTTTGGCCCTTGTTGACAACCAAGGCTCGTTGCAAACCCTTCTGCTATTTACCAGTGAGGAATTCTATATCGTAGCGTTACCAAACATGCAACGCCCGTGCCTCTCACACCCAAGGATACTTCTGTCTGTGAGTAACACTTCTCAACAATATGTAATCAAAGTGTATCTCTAGCTCAGTGTCACGTTTACGTAACTCACGCCAAACAAAATAAAAACAAAAACAAAAACAAGAAAAATGGATACAATTCTATAAAGTTATATAGAGATATTTACATTTCGTAACTTTCAGAGCATCATTTGATACCCGATGCATGTAACTTCATTGCAGGTGACCTATGTGAAAGGAGTGGACTGGTTTCTAATGACGTCATTTCTTTTTATCTTTCTGTCCCTGTTTGAGTGTGTACTGGTAGAGAGACTCGCAAATGAGAAGCAAAATGAAGAAAACAAGGAGGAAGGAATACACAACGAAGGACTGGTAATGAGGTTTCCATTTTTTTTCCAAATGTGAAATAATCTTCTTTTGACCTAGAGAGGCTAAACAACATCCCTCTTCCAGTGACAGTGCGTGGGATATTTAGATTGAGATTAATATCAGTATCTGAGAAACTGCGCACTTACCCCTCCCCCAAGTCCAACAACAGTCAACTGATAGCAAGTTAAAGTTAATGTTAGGCCAGGGGAGGGGTAGATACTGACATTGATCCGTGGTTTCAATCCCTGTATGGTCGTGACAGTGAATAAAATCGAAAAGATAATTTTTTTGAATGATTTTGTAGAACACTTCTCGATTATCCTTGAGCAAACTGGACCTACGTCATCGCAGGAGCTCCAAAACTTTGAACATATCGGGTGATTCTGTCAAATCCCCAGCTAAGGGAAGAGTTCATGTCTTACCAGTGACGACCACAGCCCCTATTAACGACACTGGCCCGAATGACGAGACACCAGAGCTATCGCAGAAGAATGGCAGTTTCTTACAGTGTCTTGAAGGAAACCCAAAGTCACCCAGAACTAAATGTGGGATGAAAAAAAGAACTCTCCCAGAAAAAATAGATTTTGCGTGTCGACTTCTGTTTCCTCTTTCATATGCCCTGTACAATTTGGGTTACTGGTATGTTTATTTGCAGGGCATTGATATAATAACATAAGATTTGAATGAATCAGGGTATGACTGCCTAAACAAGTTTTTGCTCCTGTTATGGTATAATTAGCTTTTTTTCAAAGTTATATATCTACTCGTACTTAAACATTAAATACTTTCCCAGGAAGTATCTGCGAGGGAGGTAATTGGTGTACATAAAATCCTTTTCCTGTGTATATGTTAAGTAAGTTGTAAAAAGCTATATTACGCGCGCGTTTTAATTGCCTCTTACTTATGATCTATCGGAGGACAGACGCATAGGTAACGTCACCATCAAACAGTTTTGCTTCTCTATTGTTTGAAACAAACATATACCATATTGCTGTGGGTCTGTCCAGTAATAGATCACAGGTTACGTCAAAATGTGGCGCAGCTGAGCCATCAAAACAGTTTTGCTTCTTTATCATATAAAACAAACATGTTCCATGTTGTCGTGCGTTTGTTCAGTAATAGATCACATATGGCGTCAAAATGTGGTAAGAACAAAAAGTAGCACAATACAATAAGGGTAGCCGAGCGTGTCAGTGATGTTCTCACCAAATTTTGAATCTCCTGCGGCAACATTGAATCTATTTATTGGATAGAAACCAGACTGAGCATTTAGAATTTAGTAAAACAACAACGTAAAAATACTGTACAACAAACTTCTAACACAAATGTCTGTGCGACCATTGTACTGAGAAACAAATGTAAACCAGTATATAAATTACAGAGTTAACTGCGTGTTGGGTGACTTACTAATTGGTTAAGTATAGTAACCTACAAGCATTGTCCATGTAATTTTAGTTAACGAATTTATATGAAGAGTTTAAGTCTAAGTTATTTTGGTTTTCACCTCGTGACCATTAAAGCTATAGGGTATTGCAAATTTCAGTTTGTAAAGGTATCCACATGCTTTGTATTTTTAGGAGTTTTTCTAAAGAATTTCTACCTACACGATTCAAAGAATTCGAAGGCAAGTTTCAAGCTATAAATGCGTAGCAGTCTTATGTTATGTGTCTCTAAGATACGAAATCGAGCCCTTGCACTATTTTTCAAATAATGTGCATGCGTATGTCATTGAACCTAAAGAGGTGCTAAGCAGACCCATACGAGCGCGATACTGGTGTTCTGTTCGGTTTGCGTAATGCTCAAGCAAAAGGTTGTCATTGACTGTTTCATTACGGCAATGTTCGTAGCTCATAAGACCTGCGATTAATTCAATTTGTAGGCTGAAGCTCTCCATATTTAATTGCCTCAAAGCGCTAGATCGAATGGAGTGTATTTTAGTGACACACAATCTCTGCTATTCTTTCCAATGAAATTTTCATCCTCGCAGGTCTTTTAGAAATAATCATTGTGGTCAGAGTTTCCTTTCTCTGTACAAGCAGACGGAACACGGATCCTTTCTTCATAAAGCTCGTTTCCGCTATGAACCGAATAATGTAAGGCAGTATCGAAGAGAAGCTTACAAGACCGTCACACGTGGAAAGGCTGAACGGACACCAGCGAGATGATTTCCAAGTCTCTAAGCGAAGGGCATTTTGCACGGGTGGCTTTGAAACTCATAAAAGCGCCCATGTACAATTTCCAAGAGGTGGGGTGTCGTCCAAATTGCCAATGGAACGAGATTTGCTATAGCAACCAAAATGTGTCTTTTCCATCTTTTTCGCCAAACGGCCATAACTGCGATGTTCTGATAACGAGTCTCGATGGCCAATGATGCGCCGGTGAAAAACCATTCAATAACCAGTGCAACTGAGGTATGAATTGCAAATTTCTGCAGCAGCTTTAAAAGTGGAATATTTTATAAGTAAATAAATTGATACAAGTACAAAACACTGTTAACAGAAACAATAGCAGTTGATTCATAAAGCATGCTTAAAATAGCGACATCAGCCATTAGTCGCTCACGCCGTGGAGTGCGGAAACTTCCCCAAAGAGCTGATTTTCTTTCTAAAATTACATGACAAACGTGATCAATGATAACCATGGTGCTTCTCTCTATGACTTCTGCAGCGCCGTGGACTATTCCAAGGATAGCGATGGATTTAAGGCTGTCAAGCTCTGCTTGCAACACTCGAAACATAACCGCTGTTCCAAAATACAACGGCGCTAACAAGACGAACGAACGTCCCGGATGAGTTATGCGCCATAACCGCTGAACGCATATTCGAGAGATCACCTTAAGAACGACCCCGATGAGAGGCGAGAAGATTGCTATAAGTAGCTTTCCTTTCCCATCTTGCTTGCTGTACATCGGGTAAATATAAGACGCTACGAAGATGCCGATTGCGAAAGGGAAACAACTTGGCATTAGAATTTTGAAAAATAAATTCAGCCTTTTTGATAGCGAGCGAAACGCATTTGTTAAGAGATAAATTTGCCAACATACACTTGAGAGAAAAAAACGTTCAATGGAATCTTTTTTAACACAGAAAGTTTAGAATAAGATATTCCAAGGAGTTGAAGAGCCACGCGATAAAGTGCATCCAAAGAAAACAGGAAGAAAGCTACTAAGAACAGTTTCCCCTTCAACCCCATGATCTGATATGGTCGAAAAAGTAAAAGCACACCTCCAAAGAACCACAAGTACAGGAAAACACAACCTGTGATGTCAGACATTGTTCTGATCCATTGTACTTTCTCAGGAATTGTCTCCGTGTCATGAAATTGGCAGTTGTATATGGTTTGATAGCAGACGTAGGTTATCATTATATATAGGACACCGATAATAGCAGCAGTCAACAATGAAATCAAAGCACTGGTGCACAGTGCTTTCCACACTGTGGAAAGAGTGGATGGTCTGAGCCGCTTCCAAGCCATTGCTCGATCTTCATCTTGTTGGCCGCTTAACGTCTCTTCATTTTCCTCTGGTGTGCACGCGTCCATACATCTCACATTAAGACTCGATGAAGGTAGATAAGAAAAAGCTGTATCCCTTCTATCGCTTTATTCTTGAAATACAAACTCATCTACGGGATGATAATACCATTCTCGACCGGTGCTTTCTAAAGGATCGTAGCCAAACGACTCCGGTGTAAATACAGGTTCTTCTGGATTGTAATGCTCTGACACACCACGAGTGAAACTGAACACAATGTGACCAAACACCTCTATCAGTGTATTGCTGCTCATTATTCACCCGTCAAATGACCGACTTTAACTGCACAGTTTATAACTTAGATACAAAATGCAATCTTTCCCAAAAGCTGCTATCTTTTAGGTAGATATATACTTGGAAAGTGAAAGTACATCCGTATTGAAAGTGCTTACGAGGCAAACTCTAGCTGAGTAAATTTTTGTATGCTCAGCGTTTTCAGCGAACTCAATGGACTTAATGTCCAAAACATTTTCATTTGCGCAAGGATAAAGGTGATTTAAAAGGCTTCCAAGCAAACTTTGAAACATTATATTTGCAAGTATCTGTCACGATCTGACACCTGTCAATTAGGAAGCGCGTAAGAAAAAAAAAGCGAAAGACGATTTGAATAACAACGAAATTCGAGTGGTCCATTCCAACGAGACACAAGGGGATTTAATTAATAAATTCCTTCAGTTTCTGTTGTGCCATTTACGGTACAAATGTCCAAATTGAAGGGACTTGGAAAGACTCATCGAGAGCGTATATTTGATGTAGAACTGAATTTAAAATTTCGCTCGCTCTTTCACTACGAACAAATTGTTTGAGAAAATTCAAATATTTAATGAATGTGAATGACTGTAACCAAATACCTCACGTTTTAACTCTCTAGGTGCTTTTTGTGAACGATTAAAATTAATTGCAGACGGTTTTTAGACCGCTTGTCAACCAACGTAATGACACTATTGCTTAAACAAATTAATTCTGAAACCAATATTTTACTGTCTACCAAAGTGATTTGAGAGAGAGAAAAGAGAGGATTCATAAGTTATTTATCGGCTCGAGGTAGTGACCGACGTGTTTGCTTTAAAATACTGCCCAGTCGGAAAAACGAGACATATTTATGAAAAATGGCAACGAAATTTGGGATGTACTAAGCGATTCACGAAAGCGTTACCGTGGCCCGTGGGCAGAGATAGGAAAATACTGACCAGGTAAAGAACCAATCAGATTGCAGGATTCGTTACCGTGCCCTCTCAAAAAAAAAAAATAAACAGGAAACATAAAATGTATTGATCGAGGATGGCGCGAGCGCAGACTCTGATTCTTTGAAAATGAAAGCAAGAATATGCAGTTTTTGTTTAGGCAACAGAACGAACTGGAAGAGAATAAATTTGCTCACGTTGTTAAACACGTAGTCAATTTTCAAAAGCCCTTACAGCCTCTTCGCTTGGAAGCACAGCTTATGACACGACCAACTCATGAAACAAGTAACGAAATATTTTTTATATAATTGAATAGTATGGCGCTCTGTATTTAAAGTCTGAATTTTTATAAACACAGGCAGGTTTAACAACTATGACAATAGCTCTTGGAAAAAATAAGTAGTGAAAAAAACATTCATATCTTGATATTTCTGCATCTCTGAATTCTCAAGAGCTAGATTAAAAGAGGACGACTCGTTGAAGAGAAAGTGTGTCCCCTTATAGTAGCCTTTCTATACAGTGCATGTATGAAAAACAGAGGAAGAAACTATCACGCCTGTTAACCCTGCGGATCATTGCAAACCGTATTCATGGATAAAGCTGAGAGCTTTTAGAGCCAGCAAAAGCTCGTAAAGAAGCAATTGATCGAAAGCTAAAAGTTCGGGTTTTTGCCTTCGGCTTTTCCACTTAACAGTTACAAAAAAGAACTGACTGCTCGTTAGGAAAAGGTATGGAACTGTTTAATTGCCGTGGAAAATTAGAAAACTGTTACCAAACAAATGAAGTCCTGTCATCGTGAGAGCATCTACATCTAAAAGGATGTCTTGAAATAAGTGGTTAAAGATAATCGCGTAAGTTTCGAAAATAATGTCAACTAACTCAAAGTATAATTTCATGTCGAGCTAGTCACTGATGTCTAACATCCGTAGAACACGATTTTATCTAAATACACTTTCTTTA